AGGAATCTTAAAACAAAACTCTGTAAGTGTTTTAGCAATTTGACTTCCCTTCTGTTGCAGACACAAAGCTTGGCAGTTGGATACTTCAAAGTGGGCAGTACTTTGGGTTGGTCATTTTTCAGCTTCCAAAAACCCATGCTTGAAAGGACAGCAGTAATTTGTTTACCTGCTTTCTCTATTAGTTTTCACTAACTTTGCAACTTAGGTTGGATCTATTAAGCCAAAGGTCAGCCAAGTTTTAAATGAACAGGATAACAAGTTGCAACTAAATAAAAAATAAATACTACCTCTAATCCCATAATAATTGTTATCTCTTCCTCAGGAACATAAGCTGTAGATTTGCCAAATCCATTTGCTTTGTTAATTAGAATTCGATAGTGAGGAGTAAATTTTAGATCCTGTAAAAATAGAAAGAAAATAAATAGCCTCAAAGGGAGATGATGACTAAAGATTACATTTTATAATCAGTTAACTCTCACTAGGCTTACAGAACCTAAATCCACTCCATGTATACATACAGCCAGTTCATTTTGATGATCTTACCAATGTCAGTTTGAAAAATTAAATATAAAGCACTCAGGACTGCAATACACAAAGTTCTTGGCATATCTGAAACATATTTTAAGAGTCAAGATTTTAATTAACCTTTTCTCCCACTGATCCTTCAAGAAACATGACTTATAATATCCCTGATTTTTGCATATAGGTCCCGTGACAATCTGTTAGCCAACCTTCTTCATTCACCAGGGCAACAGAACACCAGAGGGGAAGAGGCAAATTCAGAACATAATACCAGCAACGGTCGTGGGCACAATCCCAGAGAGACATAAAGCAACTACTACATGTATATATATATATATATATATGTATGTACACATACACAGGATCCCACCATGTTCACTACTACCCATAAACAATCCTGCCCAAAGAAACCCACAAACAAGTGATAGATGAATACAGATAACCAGAGTTTATGAAGCACTCAGCATTGATCAATGTGACAGGCAGTGGCCTCTGCAGTTTAGTAAAGATCTGGAAGTCAGAGGAAGGCATTAAAAAGCTGTGCTGATGTCTAGAGGGGATTTGCAAGGACCAAGCTCAGTAGTTGCCATGTAAAGGTCAGAAGGCATTTTGCATAGCTGATGCATGTAATGTGATAGACAAAGACAGGTAAAAAAAAAAACCCCAAAAGACACACACTTAAACCACACGTCATTGCTATTGAAATGAGAACAATAAAGATAAACACAAGGCCACAGGGAGAGCAAAACAATATAAGATACACAAAAAGAATCAGAGTATCTGCTGAGAAATGCTTGGGGGTTCAGCTGGTGACAAGGCTTGAGAGGAGACAGGGAAGCAAGGATGCAGTGTCTCAGCAGCCAAAGGTGAGCAACAGGTGGACAAAACAGCAGGGAAGGAACCGAATGCAGGAAATGGGACTGAATGTCTGTGCCCAGCTGAACATGAATTCTCTGCTACAGGCAAAGCTTTTCATTTTTTCCTCATTTTCAGTCCTCTTTAACGTAATGATTAGTGTCGTGTCTCCCTGCCACTTAAGCAGCATGTCAGTGGCAGGCAGAGTATGCAGCTCTGTGTTACCAGATCAGCACCATCAACAGAGATTTAGTATCTGATTTTCAAATACAACAAAGAGTTAGGATAGAGAAATTCAAGAGCTTCAAGAATTCTAACAAAAATGTGGTTTTTTGCACTCCAAATACCCAGATTCCCCCCAAAGCCCCATTGCTTTCTAACTAAAACTGATTAAACACAGAGGACTACTCGCATTTCTGAAGTGCAATGAAGATGTCACCACTTACAGATGATCAGATAAAAGACTTAACAGCCTCTCAACTCCATTCAGGCATAATAGGTTGACACTGCTACTTTAAATACAACACTGTGTATTAAAAGTGAATAATTTTCATTCATGTCCAGTACAGCCCTGACCAGTGAAGTTTAACCCATCAGTGATGCCAAAGCCAAGCTGTCCTGGGACCACAGCACAGGAGATATGGGAGTCTGGAGCATTTCCCATTAGGTTTGCAGGAGATTGATCCGTAACAGTGTTTCTGAGGGGTTTTAACCTGAGTTATTCTGTCTGTGTACTAATAAAACAAGAGTTTAACACATGCAGACCTGTTTCAGTGGAAGATCTCTGGGTTGCAGCTGTTCTTCTGGAGTGTTAGCTTTTATGTCCCATCCAACAATGACTCCTGAATAACCAAATCTTTTGTGAATTATGACCTGTCCCACACGGAACTGAATATAGTCAGGCTTGGGACTGTGAACATGAGTTGTTTCTAATTTAACAAAGAAAGAGACAGAGCAAGGATAAAAGCTGGAGCAAGTTACATCAAACATTTAAACATAAACCCTTTTGACTTCTACCAGAAAAGAACTGACCATCAGATTAACAGGTGATGTAAAGAACAGGTACTTTGGGTTTTCTCCCAGAATATTACTAC